CCTCCAAATCCTGTTTCAACTTCCATCTATCTTCCCTTTCTTCAAGCCTCAATCCTCTCTCTGCCTCAGCATCATCGAGTTCTTGAGTCCTTTTAATAATAGCCTCCTTTCTGTCTTCAATTTTACCAAACTCTTCCTTGTTCCAAGCTTTGATCCTGGCTTTTAGCTTTTGTAGCTTCTTATAAAATCTATACCCCTTCCATCTAAACACCACCTGATCCTCTTCCCACTATTCTTTCACTTTCTTTTGAAAATCTGGATGTAACAGCCACATGTTTTCAAATCTGAAAGGGCAAGGTCCTCCTCCTAGTCTTTCTTGAGATAGTCTATCTAGACATTGATCTGACGTAGGTCTAGGTAGGGCCCTCATCACCAAACCACCCCATACTTCCTCCCAATTTGAAGAGAATAAAAATCTATCTAGTTTACAACAAAGTGGTTCTTCCTGAAAATTAGACCAAGTAAAATCAGCTTGCACCAACGACAGCTCCCTCAATTCAAAAGAATCCACAAAATAGTTTTCTTCCTCATACTTGAGATGATCCTATGGTTGGGGTTATTTGTTTCAGTGGCAAACCTGATGACATTAAAATCCCCTCCCAAGCACCACAGACCCTCCCACAATCCCCTTATAGCTGCTAATTTCTCCCAAAACTCTTCCCTTTCTCTATACGAATTTGGCACATAAACATTTGTTAAAGCCCATTCCAGTCCATCAACTCCTCTTAATTTCACTGTAATCGTATAGTTACCAATTAATTCTTCTATACAGTCCAAATCCTCATTTTTTCAAATTGTCAAAATACCCCCTGAGGCCCCCCCAAGACTGTGCAAAAGCCCAACTCATTCCTCTAGCCGACCAAATACTTCTCACCCATATCCTATCCACCTCTGATAGTTTGGATTCCTGAATCAACACAACATCTGGCTTTTCTTTTCTGAGCATTTCCCTTATCACTCTTCTCTTCCCAGAACTCCCCAATCCCCTTACCTTCCAACTAATAATCTTCATTGAGAAACAAACTTATGAGCAACCCTAGACGCCACCTTTTGCTAACCTAACTACCTTCCTTTTCTCTCAAAATACCCCTTATCATAGTCCATTTCACATCTCAATCTCTCCACTTCACTCAATTTCTTCTTCGCCCTTTTATGTGTCCCTCCTTCAAGCTTTTTCTTAGATTTATCTTGTTCTTCCGCTCTATTCTTTTTTTTTTTTTACTTTTCTTCCTATTTCTCCTCTTTGTTGTTTTTTTGCCTGTTTTTACCCCTTCTCCCTCCCTTCCTTTACCTGGGAACTAGGAACTAGAGTGTCACCCTTCCCCTTTCTCTATCAGCCTAAGTAAGACTCTACCGATCATATTTGCTACTAAGGTAAATAGGAAGGGAGAGAGTGGGTCCCCTTGCCTAACACCCCTGCAAGCTGGAAAGAAATCCTTCACCACACCATTAACCAAAATAGAGTAGTGACAAGTACTAATACACCCAAGTATCCAGCTACACTACTTGTCTCCAAATCCACAGTTTCTCATCACCTCTGATAAAAACTCTCAATCCACCAAGTCATAAGCCTTTTCAAGATCTAATTTAAACGAAACCTCTTTGCCTAGACCTTTTCATTTCCTCCACACATTCATTCGCAATTAGAATCTGATCTGTTATTTGTCGCCCTTGAATGAAAAAACCCCTGAGTTTCACTAATGATAGATGGGGGAATTGCTTTGATCCTCAAAGAGAGCACTTTAGCTAGAATATTTTAGATGCTTGTCACCAAACTAATAAACCTAAAATCTTTTGAGTGGTTGGCAATCACTCTTCTTGGGGATTAAGGCCAAGAATGTGGCATTGATTCCAGGGCTTATTATGTAATTGTCTGCAAATTCCTTAGAGACTTTAACTAAATCTTCTTTTAGCACCTCCCAGCAATCTTGATAAAAGGCCATTGTAAAGCCATCTAGACTTGGAGCCTAGGATCTATCCATTAGAAAGACAGCTTGCTTAATCTCTTCTTCCTCAAAATTCCTTTCCAGCCACCTTGCCTTTCCTTTTAAATTTTTTTCTTAAATTTTCACAAAAGAAATCACAATGTCTTCAACCTATGGTGGAAAACTTGCTTTTGTTTGTTGTAACTTGGACTGAAAAGGAAAATTTAGGATGCTTAGGCCCTGTTTTGCATCAATTCTCCATATTCTGATTCTCAAAATCCTTCCAGGAAAGAATGGATTTTGAGAATTCTCATCCAGAGAATTTGCGAGATATGTTTGGCACAGTCATCTGATTTCTGTTTCTCAAAATCAGAATCACGTTTGGCATCACCCTATTTCCTCAAATCAATTATCCAAACGAAAAACACATAAAACCATAAGTTCACTGGAATTCTCCAAACTTAGTCCATGGGAGTTTCTTTTTTAATGTCAACTCCTTTTTGTGTTATTAATGATTAATCTAATTTAAGGTTATACTGGAATTCTTAATAGTTGCCAGCAGCTCCAGAAGGAAGAGTTGCAGGAAAGAAGACTAAGATTGTTAGAAAGTATCTAACCATGTATAATCTTCTTTAACTCTTCTCTGCCCCCATCTAATCCTACAATGTCTTTTTTTTTTATCAGTAACAATGAAATTGTATTAATGATAAAACAAGATTACAAAGGGATGGAGCTAAAAAGTCTTAACTCCAGTTACCCAAGAACTTACAAAACAGCCCAGAATAATGTGTCTCTATTTACCCCTTGCCTAGCTAGACCGTCAGCCAATGCATTTGCACTTCTCTTGATCCAATTACATTGAATTTCCATGTCCCTGGTTAACCACTTATATTTCCTTTTTTTATTGCTGTATTTCCACATCAAAGCACTTTCCTCTGTTAGCCATTTCACCACCATTTCAGAATCACCTTCTATAACCACCTTTTTTATCTTCATTTCCTGACCCTTTGAATCCCACATTGTCTTTGTCTGGCATATATTTATTGTTATTTTGTATGACAAGCAAGTGGTTAATTAACAAAATGCTCTTGATATAGCACAGTCTAAGGTTGTCTTTGGTATTTGAAATTGGAGGTGGAATTTGATTGGTCAATTTTGTAAATCTCAAGATAATGTCATTTAGATGTTTTTTTAAAGCATGTTATAGAAGTTGGAGAAATGCAGGAAAAAAGAAGGCTGCAAATTATGTTTCAGTGGAATTTGAATTCTTCCCAAAGGCTATTTCATCTATATGAAATCAAAGTTCTAATCCATTCTGCTTCGAAAATCCAAAAACAGCCTAATTGAATCAATATTAGTACTAATGATAACTCTGTAATTAGCAGAGATTTACATAATCAAAATTGGGTGGAAATCTGGGGTGATCAGCTCATGGAGATATGGACCTTTCTAGTTCTTTTAGACCCAATTTCTAGACATACATACATATGTAAAGATGCAACCAAAACAGAATGGTAACATGACCTCTAGTGTTATTTAGCCTGAAGACAATGAAAATAATTGTGGGAAGAGTGCCGAGTAATAAGAGGAGTGGCAATAGAAGTTCCATTTTTCTGTTGTTTTTTAAGTACTGTTGCTTTAAAAGCATTTAATATCTCCTAACACAATTGTGCTGCTTGACTTATTATTATAACATATTCCAGTGGCAGAAGGAATCAGCTTATAAACTCTTATCTTTTATATTCAGTGTGTGAGCTCTTGCATTTTGGGGTAAGTGTAGTAAATCATCTAGATTGAGTCTTGGTTCTAAACCCAAGTGGGTGTATGACATGCTAAATGCAGCAGTTTTATCTCATAGAGAGGTTAGATCTAGTAAAGTCCTTTGCTCTGACTTTGGTTCAGAACCAAGTTATATACTTGCTTCCTATTTCTAGGACAAAAGTCTAGTGAATAGCGAAGCCCAATTTTCCACTTCTAGAAGCAAATTTCTAACTTTTGCAACTATTATGTTCTTTTGTCTACAGTTTGGATGTAAATGAGCTTGAGAGGAGGTTGGCAGCCCTCAGAAACCCATGAAGCGAAGATTGGAAATATGTTTGGTATCTTTTAGAGTTGATTAACTCAGGTTCTCTTTATGCTGTATATTTTGTCTAGCATGTATATTTTGTAAAGTGGTCTTGTTGTATATTGACACAAGGTTAGAAGTTTGTGTCCTTCAGGCAATATTATGCACATGGCACCACCCATGAATTAAACTTTGGATCTCTCATTTGGAGGCTTACTTAATGACACGGGTTGTAAAATGTCAAATCTTAATTATTCATTGAATAGCAAAAACATGGACAATTGTGGATGGCCGAAGTATATTCTCACAGCCTAAGGTAAATATAAATCTTTGAAAATTTTAAGAATTAACCTTTTCAATTGCCGTGAGTTTTTGATGGTGCTGGCCTAATATGATCCCAGAAGGTGCTAACCGAAGGTTTTTTAGATTGATTTATAACTGGGTCATAACACAGTATTATATGAAGGGCACAAAAGGGTAGCTCTGTTAACAATATATAGGCATGTTTTATTTCTTTTGTATTTAGAATGCTTTATTTTTTTCTATTCCCTGCATTTGGTGTTTTATTTAGAACAATGTAAACTCCAAATGAAAAGGAGAAGGAACTATGGGGATGGAATCAAGGAAAAGGTTTTTACAAATGCGGCTAAGTTTGTGTATGATAACTGCTCAATGACAGGAGGGGGAGGGTGAAGGAAAAGATTCTAAATTTAAAACCCTTGCCAAATTCAAGGCATAAATGGTATGTGATGAAGTTTTTATGGGCTTTATGCTTTCAGCACCTAGTTCAACTATAATCAAAACCCACTTTAGTGGTTATGCTTACTGAGCTAAAAGTTCACAGACAATTACAGTATAAAAAGATGTTTTATAAAGCATATTTGTATAGAACTGTAAACGACTTCCTAATTAAAGAAGTGTAAACGACTTTAAAAAGTTAAAACGACTTCCTAATTAAAGAACTCAATTCAAATAGTAAGAATGGTGAAGGACACAAACTTGGTCTGTACCTGTAAACGGTAAGATGATTGAACGATACAAGGTCTCTGGATTTTCTGGAGAAAAGATCAAACAAAACATGAGAATGGTGTTTGGATATACCGACATGAATAGATGGGAGAATAATGAGAAAAACGAAAGAGAAAAGCGTACTGCAGAGAGGTAAACTACCACGGCGTCGGAGAAGGTGATATTACAATTGGGCGAAATGTCGAGGAAGACGGAAAGAAAGGGAAAAAGTAAAAATAGCGAATGAGGGAGGGTTTAATCGAGCCAGGCCCTGTTTTTGTGCGATTTTACTGGAATACCCCTGATTTCACGTGTGCTGAATGCCACGCGTGTTCGTTATTTTAATTAGACGTAGCGAGAATCGACCTGGGCGACAATCACTGAATCAGAATTTTCGCTTCCCATAATCCAGCTTTTAAATCGAAAATTTTATCCTTATTCGAAATAAAATTAATGGAACCAGCGGCGACCAATCGCACGCAAAAATCTGAAAGATTTATTAATTTTATTTATTATTAATTAATATTAAATTAATAATTATAATTTATTGTTAATTAATTAAAAGTATTCAAAGTTATTGTTAATATCCAAAATTTTAATAATTGTATTTTCATTTAATATTGATTTATAGAAAATAATTATTGTTGATTTAATATGAACAAATATTTTTTAATAAATTTAGTTTTATGAATAATTTATAGTAATTTTAATAATTGTTATTATTTTTTTATTTTTAAATGAAATTTTGGTTAACTTTAAATAAATAAAAATAATTAGAAAAGCTAACATTTTTATTAATTTCACTAATAATTAATAATTATACAGGAATGACAACCACTCTACCACATCCCTAGGGTCAGGTGGGTTTAAGGCAAGGCAACCACTCCTCAATGTCAGGCGAGTTCAGGGGTAAGGCATCTCACTCCTCATCAATGATAGAGCGCCTTGTCCCCAGTATTGAGAGGGTTCAAGTAGAAGTGTAAATCGGGTCATGCTGGGCTGAGCCTTGGACCAGGCCTGGCTACGGATCGGGCCAAGTTATGAGAGGTCCATTTAAAAAAATTTGAAAAAGATGTTTAAATTTGTATTTCATATGATTTTTGATGTATACAATTAGACCTATTCATGGGCCAAGTAGCCCGACAGCCCGGCCCGGCCCAGTCTGACCCGTTATTTTTCATGCTTGGACAAAATTTTAGCCTCGTGGGCTCGAGCTCAGGCTTTCTCAAATAAGCTCGGCCCAATACTATTACATATACAGAAAAAAGTACTTATGTTATATATAATAAACAAATATATATACTTCTTAAATAATTAATAAAAATCAATTTACTATTAGGAAAAATAAAATAGTTTATTAATTTATTAAATTATTACTAAATTAATACAATACTAATTTATAAAAGTATACTAAAAATAAGACATTTTGTGTACAGATCAGGCTTCAGGCTTTATATAAGGGATAGGCTTGGGCTCAAGATCTAGGCCCGATGATCAGGCCAGGCTCGGGCTTGAGCTTGCACATTTTCTATTGATAAAGAGGCATGTGTTAATTATAAAACTATGATTTTTTACAAATTAAATTTTTTATTTAATTATAGTATAGTATAAATATATATATATATATAATTTTTCTCTCTCTCTCTCTCTATATATATAATATAAAATTTATTATTTGAATATTATATAATAATATTTACCATATATGCACATAAGTTCCAAGTTGAGATTATTAGGGATTGTTTAGCTTGGGCCCTATCCACTAAAGCCATCATTGGACTCTAAAAGTTTAATGCCCAATTAGACTTCGGATCTGATAATGTGTAGGCATGGTGCATATCTCAACTAGACCTAATTCAAAAGAAAATAGTTGCTTAAGCCTATAAATTTATAGATCTAGTCGAGTTAGGTTAAGTTATAAACGATTTGTTACTTTTTATTATTAATTATTAAAATATTGTACTATTAAATTATTGTATTTATTTAAAATACATTAATTTCTAGATATTATCATATTTTTAGAAATATTGCTAACTTCTTGGCTAAAACTAATTAAATGTAATTTTTTAGTAATTAAATCTAACTTTTTGGTAAATAAATGTAATTTTTTACTATTTATAGCTTAAATTATAATTACTGTTAATTACAGTTTAAAAATAATTATTGTTAATTATATTACTATTAATAATTAACACATTATTTTCTTCATTATTATTTAGTATTTTTTGCAAAAAAATACAATTAATTTAATTTTTTTAATTGTTTTTTGTATTTTAATCAAGCTTTAGGTTTTTCAAAATTTTTGGATTTTTAATTAATTTTTGGTTTTTTTCATTATTATTCAGTAATTTTTGCATATGAGTATTTTTCAATAATTTTCAGTATTTTCATCATTTATTTTTGCATATTAGTCACTACAAAATTAATTTGCATTTCCTTTCAGTAAAAATAAATTAAATAACTAAATAAATACCATAGTTAATAAAAAATACAACTAATTTTCAATAATTTCTGGCTTGGGTATTTTTTTAATAATTTTTAGTATTTTTTAATAATAAAATACTATTAATTGTACTTTTTCACTATTTTTAGTAAATACCCTTATTAATATAAAATATTGTTACTTTTCAATATTTTTTAATTATTTTTAGTATTTTAATTATGTTTAGGTTTTTTAGTATTTTGTGAATTTTTAATTAATTCTTGGTATTTTAAAACCATCAATTAATATTTTTATTAGCATTTATTAAGGTCTCAACTCATAAGTTATCTGATAATATTATTAAAGCTATCAATTAATATTTTTATATTTAAATTCCTTATTTTTATTAGTGTTTATGAAGTTGGATTTTTAAGTAGAATTGAAACATATTTTTAATATTTAGTAAGTTTTGTTCATATTTATTTATAGTGAAAGTTTAGTGGATTTTTAAATTCATAATTTTTTTGATCGTTTAACCTCAACCTATTTATATTGTTTGAATTATGTCCTGGTTTTCAAAATCAAACCAAACCGAAAAAAACCAGGAACCGATTAGATGGTTTGTTCTGTTTTACCCCAGAACCGTTATTTTGCCAAAAACCGTTGATTTGGTAAGCAAACCGCTGACCCAAGCGGTCAAACTATTTTAACCATCCAACGAATTTGGCCATTTTTTATTTTTTTGTCAAAATGGGCCATTTGTTCGGTTTGAACGGTCGGACCATTCGACCCGGGAACTGGATCTCTGACCGGTTCGATTTGAAAAACCTTGATTTATATTATTAGTACTCTCTCTCTCTCTCTCTCTTAAATGTAATAATAACAAGCATTAAAATAAGAGGCCTTTGAAAACCCAAAGGTCTCTCTCTCTCTTAAATGTCTTTTTTAAATGTAATAATAACATGCTTTAAAATAAGAGGCCTTGGAAAACCTAAAGGTCTCTCTCTAATAATGTGCAACTTTATTAATCTAATCAAGATAAGCACTGATTACTGTTTTATATTTTTAAAACAAAAGAAAAAAATGCAAAAATAGAGAAAATAGATAAATAGCATATCTCAAAGGAAAGACATGCTGACATGGACTGTCCAATTTTAATATATATATATATATAGATAATAAATAATTTTTATTATATGTATATAATATTCTTATTTTTATGTATAATAATAAGTAATTTTATAATTCTTATTGCTTATATGTAAAATAAAAATATTTTTTATATGTATATTTTTATTTTTATGTTTATAATAATAAATATTATATATATATATATATATATATATTATTTATTATATGCATTATAATAAATAACTTTATAATTCTTAATTTTTGTATGTATAATAAAAAATAAATTTTAGATGTATAATTTTTATTTTTTATAAAAAGCTTGGCTCATAGTAGAGCCAAATTTAAGCTAAGTCTTTAGCTCGAATCAAGCTCAAGCCAAATAGTTTTTGGTGAGTCGAGCTTGAATAGCTAGATATTTAGCTCGGCTCAACTCGAATTCACCCCTAGTCTCTACCAAACACCCTCATCATCCTTAGAATTATGAGAATTGATTCTTCAAAGTGATGCCCAAGAGGAGACTTTTTTGGTTCATAAAACAATCAAAATTGGGAATTGGAATTAGTTGAAATGGGATTTCATTTCAAAAAGGAGGGGGAGGGAATGGACATTCCCTCAAATGGGCGAATGCCATTTCACCAAAAATGGGCATGGAATTCATACTCTGCCCAACCAACTAATTTGAATTAGAATGGCTCATTTTGATTTTGATTCTTGACCCCTATTCCAATAAACCAAATGGGCAATAAGAATTGTATTAAGATGATGCTTGGTGCAATGTTTTCAAAACGTCATTGACCCAGATGGTCAGATCATTTGGCCTAAGAACCATCTAGGCAACTAGTCCAATTTCACCCCTAACCCGTTTTTGGCCAAAAACCGTTGATTTGGTGAGCAACCCGCTAACCTAGGCGACGGAACCAATAACCTATTTGATTCGGACAACGGTTTTTGGCCATTTTTATTTTTTTTTAATTTGGAATGGGCCATTCGTTCGAACATTACGGTTGAACTACTGACCCAAGACCGGTGACCAAAGTTGTTTCGGTTCCGAGTAGGTTTTTTAAACATTGGTTTGGTGTCATTGCCCTTTTTTTTTCTTTTTGCATCTCTTCTAAAACAATATTGCAATGTCATGGTATTGATTTTGAATTTTTTTTAACATAAACTTATTTGGTTGTGTTTATTGTTGATTAGGCAATTTGTCAACATTTTTTGCATAAACCTATTCAGCAGCCCTGTTTCAATAATTGCTAGTAGTTGGAAACAGGGTTCAAAATATCGATACAGCCCGATATGTCAGTAGGGGTGTATCAGACTATATCGGAGCTCGCTCCCCTTTGTTTTAGTTTTTTAAACCTTGTTCAAAGGGGTCAGTTTAAGGCCTATTTATCCCCTGAGCTGGGTTAAACCTCGAAACACCCCCTATAAGGGTGTATTGGGAAGCCCCCCAATATGTATCGAAATTTTGAACCTTAATTGGAAATCAACATGACGTAGTATGATCCAATTCATTTGGTTATAGTGTGATTATGCTCATCTAATGGCCCTAATTTATTTTATTCAAAATGAAACTAAATATTTCATTATTACACAAAGATTAACATCTAGATGCATATTTAATGGTGAATAGCCTATAGATGCAAATCTAAATATCTAACCTTTAATCATGGGATAAGAAATATC